GATATTATTAATATCATTATCATCCTCATTATCATTTATCATGACCATTATCATTGTCATTATCCTTTATCTTTATCATTATCATCATCATGAGCTCCCTATTTCCCCTTGCTGCCAGATTGCCTTCGCGTCCATAGAGGCGAGCGTGAGCACTCTCAGGGGCTTCAAGCAGTACAGCTCAGTCCTGTACTTACAGAGGGTGGTAGTGGCGAGCTCGGAGGAGGAGAGGGAGGGGCACAGGGGCCAGGAGGAGGCACTCGATACCTTCGCGGACTATTTTAGTGGTAAGTCCTTGCCATTCCTCTGTCTGTCTGTCTGTCTGTCTGTCTGTCTGTCTGTCTGTCTGTCTGTCTGTCTGTCTGTCTGTTTGTCTGTCTGTCTGTCTGTCGGGACTATTTATCGGCCAGTCCTCGCCATTCTTCTGTCTGTCTGTCTGTCAATTTTATGGGTAAGGTGCACGCAGACATAATGTATGTCCATTTATTTGTCCATCCCATGGTTTGATGATAGCTATTGCATGTCATAAACTTGGGTCGGTGTGCATTTAGTGACACCTACCAATAAAATATTATGCAAGCCTTTAAGTCTCCGCCAGTCCTCTGTCTGTCTGTCTGTCTGTCTGTCTGTCTGTCTGTCTGTCTGTCTGTCTGTCTGTTTGTCTGTCTGTCTGTCTGTCTGTCTGTCTGTCTGTCTGTCTGTGTATATAATTAAGGATATATTATTCATTTGTGTGTATGTGTGCGCGTGCATGTGTTTGTGTGTATGTATGTATATATATATATATATATATATCGCTGGTGGAGTGATGAAACTTCACAATGTGTCAAAAGCACTAGGTCATATTAGTAAGAGAAAGTATAACAAATACTTAATAAGAAAACCTTGTATGTTAGCCCCCATGATATCCTGGCGTGATGAAACCTCGCAACCCTCATCTGGTGCACCGATCTGCTTTTGCGTGGTTTCATCACTCCCGGTTTGAGAGAGCGGGGTGCTTATACGAGGTTCTGGACAAGCCTTCTATATGTACCGGCTTAATTGAAGCGCTCATAACTGACATTGTCTGGTGCATTTAATGTTTCTGACGGAATAAAGAAATATTTCATTCCTTCATTCATCCGTACATTCATTCATTCTGTTATTCATTCATTTTATTTCAGTCAGTTCAGAAGTTCAAATATGGTCATAAGTGAAGTACTTACATTGTGTAAATATATTAAAAATCCATTCACAAGGATGACTAACTTACTGATAATCAAGATGTTCTCATCGAGCACAAACGTAGTTAACATTTAAGTTAAGGCAACTGTCACACCTTGAAATGACAGGTGACGGTAGTCCTTCCTTAGGCTAGGTGACAGATCTGTGCACTCTCCAGATGTCAACAGGCTATTATGTTTATCAAAGAGAGGGTAAGGTTTTGCATCTTCTCAGACTATGAATCCGCTGTGTAGTCGAATCCTCCAGTTGTGGTTGAGACCGAATAGTACTGAACTTAACCATGATCTTGATGACTCTGAAGTCTTTAAAGGACATTGTGACAGATTTGCGCCTCAACTACACACGTAATACGGACATTTCCGAATCTGTATTGAATATCTCCTTCTAACTGTGCTCATCACCTAGATCTTTATACCCTACAAAGGCTGGTTTGGAAACCACTGAGCAGACCTGTCCTTTCCAGGGCTGTCCCTGATATGTGGAGACAAGGAAGTATCAGCATCATCCCAGACTGAATCTGCCCCAACAGTAGTGTCGTCTGGAATCATACCCCAAACCATACTGACGTTGCACCAGGCAGCTGTAAGTCAGATGCTGAATTATTACCTTCGAGGTCACAGCAACACAATCTGTAGACTATATTCAGGCACTTTAGCCACTTTTCCTGGAGCCTGATCCCGAGACACAGCTCATTTCTGAAGCCAGCATAAATGATGCTCCGCAGAAGAAAAGAAAGGTTTTTCAGGAGTATCAACAAATAAGCGAAAAGCTTATCCGTGGATCGGGACAGGATCGGAATACATAATGATTCAATGAAAAGCCCAGCTAAGTTATTGAAACCAATCTGTGATTGCAAGAGCTGGACTCTGAAATATAAAGGGCTCTCTGAAGTTGATAGACATTCTAATTAATTTTGATTTAGTGTGGTCCCTCTCATGGGATGACTAGTGGACCTCGGAGGAGGTATTCAGAGACTAACCAGAGAGAGAATACCTTCAATAAACACTTTTGAAAGATGGCCATAAGGTGCCAGTGTGTTAAAAGGTGTTCCTGAATTGAACTGGGTTGGATGAATGATTTGAAAGAAACATTTAGAACCAATAATTATCAAAGTAACTCAGATATCTACAAAATATATGCACAAGTCTGCCAAGACCACGGGAGGCGGCCTCTCAAAAGACCCGCCCTCGATGAAGGATTCAAGCAGAATAACGTGTCGCTGTTCCTGTCAAAGATAGATATGTACCACCCTTGCATCAGTCGTGAAGTTGACAATGGAGGATCTTCGGAATGCTCACATTCTAGAAAAGGAGGCAGCGCGCAAAGAAAAGAAACGAGATAAATCTGAAGCCATCAAATCTCTCGTCAGTAATGAACCTAAAACGGCTGTACTTTCAATGGATCTTCAGCATCAGCCTTATATAACAAAACAAAACTCGCCGTTCATAACTTTACGCTATTGGATGCTGCAACACGCAAGACTACTTGTTACGTGTGTCATGAAGCAGAAGGGGGACTTATGGCAAATGAGTTTGCTTCATGTCTATTGGGTTTCTTGAAGGAAAAGCTGGACTTCCAGAAAACCATCATCGACAGCGACAACTGTGGTTACCAATACAGAAAACCCACACTAGCCAATGTTTCTCTCAGCCTATTTTCAACAACACATGGAAGCACAATTGAACAAAAACTTTTTGTCAAAGGACTCACACAAATGGAAATTAACAGTGTGAATTCAACTATTAAGAGATCGCTTCGAAAAACACGCATCGAGGTCCTTCAACACTACCTCCATTTCTTCATGATGGCAAGAGCAAAACAAGAAACTTAATCAAAACAAATAGTTGGATCACACTTTCTTCAAGGAATATTCTAAGTGTGGAAGCTACGACAAGTCTATAAGACTAGGTAGAAACACGGGTGATCCTGTTGTCACCGACATCAGGTGTTTGAAGTACACCCCAAACATGAACATCCAGTTCAAGCTGCACCTCAGTGATGAATGGGCTGACGTTCCGAAGGCAGGACACAGAAACATAAGGTCCACCCTACCTCACAACTCTACACAAAACGTTTTAAGTTCCAGCACTTCAAGTACAATCACCTACAGGTGCTTAAATCTGTTATTGCCAATATGCATCGTCACTTTATGACAATTAATACCATTAACATTTATGGCTGTTTATTATGATTCAACATCTCTTATGAAAACCATCTGTAGTGCAAACAGAGACCATACTGCAAAGATTTATT